TGGGCTCCAGAGCTGGGCTGAATTCTTGCACGGGGCTGGGTCTCTGAAGTGAGCTGGGTGTCAGAGCTGGGCTGGGTTCTAGAACTGATCAGGCTTCTGGAGCTTGGTTGGGTTCCGGGAATAGGCTGGGTTCTTGAACTGCTCTGGGTTTCAGAGTTGCGCTGGGTCTCAGGGCTGAACGGAATCCTGGAGCTGGGCTCGGTTCCAGAGCTGGTCTGCTTCCCAGAGTTCGGCTCAATACCAGAGCTGCCTTGGGCTGTGGCTTGGAGCTGGCATCTAGAACTCGGCAGGGTTTCTGAGACGAGCTGAGTCCCAGAGGTCGACGGAGCTCTGGGACAAGTCTGCGTCCTGCAACTGAGTCTGCTCTCAGCGCCAGACAGATTTGTGGACTTTAAGTCTGTTGCTGCGTCGGTCCGGGTCCCAGGGCTAGATAGGATGCCAGGGTTTAGCTGGATTCTGGAACTTAGGGGGGCCTCAGCCACGGACTGCACTGGGGAGCCAGACGGGATCGCGGACGCACTCCGTGCTCCAGAACTGAGCTGAGCTCCAGAGCTGGGTGGAGTGCCTGAGCGAGACTGAGCTCTGGAAACTGCCCAGGCTTTGAGGTCGGTCTGGGTCCCGGAGTCCAACGGTATTCTAGAGCTGGTCTGCGTTTTGCCGTGAGAGCGGGGCTCGGCGTCGAGCTGGGCTCGGGAGGCAGGCCTTGGCTCAGGGAGGGCTGTGGTTCCAGAGCTTGTGTGAATTCTGGAGACGGGCCTGGTTGTAGCACTAGGTTGGGGCGTAGAACTGGGCTCCGTCTCTGAGCTGGAATCACCACCGGAACTGGACCGGGCCCCGGGTTGGGAGTAGGTACTTGAGGGCACTTGGGTTTCAGGGCAGGGCTGGGGTCTGGGTCTGGACCAAAGTTCAGCTTGCGTCTGGGTTCGTGAGCAGACTTGGGTTTGGGGGCCCTCTTCCAATCCTGGGCCGGTGTGGCCACTGCGGCCGGGCTGTTTCTTGAGTCTGGCCCGGGCTCCAGAACTAACGAGAGGTCCTGAGCTGGACAGGGTGTCCGGGTACGGCCGGGTCACGGGGTTGTCTTGAGTTCCAGAGTCCGGTCGAGTTTTACGGCAGAGCTTGGTCGGAGATCCGGGCTGGCTTCCAGAACCGGGGTTGATCTCGGGGCTCGGCTGTGTCCTGAAACGTAGCTGGGCTCCAGAACTTGACTTGATTTCAGGGCTGGGCTTCGCGTCAGAGCCGTCTTGGGTTCTAGAAGAGGGCTGGGTTTTGGAGCTGGGTTGGGTCTCCGCACGGAGCTTGGTTCTAGAGCAAGGCTTGACCTCAGGGCTGGGCTTGCTCTCGGAACTGGTAGGGGTTCTAGAGGTGAACTCGGTCTCAGAGCTGGCCTGGGCTCTGGAGGGGGACTGGGTTTTGGAGCTGGGTAGGGTCTCAGGAGTGGATTGGGTTCTAGAGAGGAGCCCAGTCTCCGAGCTGGCCTGGGCTCTGGCGCAGGGCTGGGCTTCGGGAACAGGCGGGGAGGGCCGCGGCAGGGGGCTGGGCTCTGGGCTGGGGCTGCGCTCAGCCCCGGGGCAGACTAGCCGCAGGCCTCCCTGGCCTCGCCGATGGCGGCCCACACCTCCACCACAAACTCGTCCGGGAAGGCAAACTCGCCCAAGACGGAATCTAAACGGTGCGCAAACTCCTGGACACTCAGCGTCTTCTTGGCTGTGTCCACCATGGTGGATGCTGCGGGCCAGAGAGGAGGGGAGGTGGGTGAGGGTGCTCCCTGGGGCCCCTGCCTCCTCCCTGTGGGCCGTCCTCCCCCCAGGGTCCACCCGGCTTACCCTGGCCCCTTACCCAGCTCAGGGTCCCGAATGCCCATGTAGCTCTCCAGCAGGTCGTCGACCCTCCGGGACGCCTCCTCCTCAAACTCGGTGGGCTGGGGGGCGGGGCGGGGGGGGGCGGACAGAGGAGCACCGCAGAGGGTCAGAAGCCTGGGGTCCCTCCAGCCCAGCCCCTCCACGGGCTCCCGCCCCTCAGGTGACAGGGGAGCGGGGCTTGGCAGGAGTCAGCGCCCCGTGTCACCACTGTTGTCCTGCCACACGACCAGGGGGCATCCTGCAGGAGGTGGGGGGGGGGGGGACCAGGCTGGACGAAGGGGAGGGTCTTACCCGAGGGTGCACTGAGTCAGGGGAGTGCTTGCTGCAAGAGCCCCTGGAGACTCCCGTCCCCTTCACTCACCACTTCCTCCACTGTGGCAGCCCCCCCGGAACGCAGTCGCAGGGTCTCCCTCCCGCTGGTCACTTTTGCATCTGCGGGGCATTTGCTGTTTCTGCTCCGCTGGCCAATCATATCTGCGGGGGACACAGTGGGGGAGGGGCATCTGTTCCGCAGGATCCCCGTCCGCGGATCCCTCGGAAGCTACCCGCTGAGCCTTTCTAGAACCTTCTATCCTTCAAAGCCCTCCTTTACGTCCATGGGTGAATCTTCAGAGACCCTGCTTGAGAATCCTTTCTTCCCTCAAATCTCCCTTCTCTTTATTTTTTGTTTTTTTATGTTTTTGTTTTTTTTTTTTTTAAAGAAATCTCTCTGGGGCGCCTGGGCGGCGCAGTCGGTTAAGGGTCCGACTTCAGCCAGGTCACGATCTCGCGGTCCGGGAGTTCGAGCCCCGCGTCGGGCTCTGGGCTGATGGCTGGGAGCCTGGAGCCTGTTTCCGATTCTGTGTCTCCCTCTCTCTCTGTCCCTCCCCCGTTCATGCTCTGTCTCTCTCTGTCCCAAAAATAAATAAACGTTGAAAAAAAAAATTTAAAGAAATCTCTCTGCCCGGCACGGGGCTCAAACTCGTGACCCCAAGATGGAGAGTCGTCCCCTCCACCGACTGAGCCACCCAGGCGCCCCTCTCCTCTTTTTAAAAAGTCTCTCTAGGGGCTCCTGGGTGGCTCCGTTAGCTAAGCGTTGTCTGACTTTTTTTTCTAAGTTTATGTATTTACTTAGAGAGAGAGAGAGAGTCCTGGCACAGAGCACAACACAGGGCCCGAACTCATGAAACCGCGGTGACATTATGACCTGATCCGAAACCATGAGTCAGAAGCTTAACCGACTGAGCCTCCCGGGGGGGGGGGGGGGCCCAGCATCCAACTTGGCATCTTCTGTCTTGGCTCAGGTCACGATCTTGCAATTCGTGGGCTCTGTGCTGACAGTGCGGAGCCTGCTTGGGATCCTCTCTCTCTCTCTCCCTCTCTCTCTGCCCCTCCCCCCCATGCTCTTTCTCTCAAAACTAAAATAAACATTAAAACAAAGTGGGGGGGGAGGGGAGTCCATGCGGAAATAAGATGGGTGCCAGGATGGAAATTGACATCCGGCTCCTTCCTTGAGAAAGTCCTCAACAGACCATCCTAAACAAGATGGTCTACATTCTAGAACAGAGGTTTTTAACCTGGTGGTAGGGGCGGGTGGTTCCCCCGCCCCCAGGTGACATTGATGTTGCCATTGGCAGCCGCTGGGTCGAAGCCGGGGGGTGCTGCTCAACATCATACAGCGCACAGGACGGCCCCCACCGCAGAGAATGATCGGGCCCAAATGTCACGGCGCTGAGGTTGAGAAACTCATCCTATCCTGGTCTTCCCACCCCCACCCACACACACCTCCATCCCTCGGCTGGCTGTAACAATCTAGAAACTGCCTACCTGTGCCCGACACAGTGCCGGAAGCTCCCCGTCATGGCACCAGAGGCTTCTAGAACCTTCCATCCTGTCCCATTTCCTCCCCCCCCCCCCCCGCCCTCCTCCAGTGTACTGGGCCTCCAGGCAACCCACTTCTGGAAGAGCTCCTCAGCGCCACCCCACCTGCCCCCGGGGACCCCAGGGGGCCCTCACCGAAGGCTCTCTTGGGCTGCACCAGGCGCAGGGTGAAGGGCTGTGACTTGGGCAGCTCGCGGAGCATCTTGGCCACCTCGTAGTGGCGGCAGCCGACGATGGAGTGGTCGTTGATGGCCTCGATGCTGTCGCCCACGCACACGGCCTGGATCCGGTTGATGATGCTGTCCTCCCTGATCCTCTGCAGGGACCCAGAGTCACTCACGGGGCCGCCCCAGCCTCCGACACCCCCGCCCCCAGCTCCCTAGAGCCCAGTTAGACCAGAGGGGGCCGGTGGCTCATCCCAGGTCCCGGAGCACCCGGGAAGCCGCCCGCCCTGCGTGGGCACCTTAATGAAGGCGTAGCCGGCCCCATTGTCCGTGATGGTCAACCCCAGGGCGTCTTCGGTCTTAGTGACCTCCACTTCCTTGGTCTCGCCGCGCACGTGGGCAAAGATGAAGTCCTCCAGCCCTATCTGGCCGCCCAGGAGTTTCTGCATGTCTACCTTGTGGCTGTTTAGGGTGCAGAATAGGATCTGTCCGGAGGGGAGGGGAAGCCCAGAGTTAACGACAGTGCTCCTCGCCCTCTGTCTGCGCAGGACAACCAGGGGGATGCGCTCAGGAAAGGGAAACCGAGGCACGAAGAGGTCGCCACTGGTCTGATCACCCAGCCGCCAGGATCCCGGTCCACGGGAAAGGGCAGGGCGCGGGATCCTCAGAACGGGGTGATAGGGAGGCCCTGCGCAGGAAGAGCGCCCTCCTTCACCCCTAAACGTTGTTATACCCCGTCGGTGCCCCGACACCCCAGACCAACTTTTTCAGGCGATTCTGAATCGGCTGGCGCCCCCTGGGGGCTACGAGCCGCACCGCCCTGCAGCCCAGCCCCTGAACCCCGCGGCCTCCTGGAAAGCGGCTGCCTGGAACCCCGGTCCCCAGCCGCGCGCCTGGGGACCACAGAGGCGCTTACCCGAGGGCTGGGGTCGCTGCGGGCTGGTTCGGCGGCGTGGGCTCCCGGACAATCTAAAGGAGCCGCTCGCCCTAAAACAGGCTCGTTGTTTTTGCGCAGGGCGGGCTCTGCGCAGGGCTTTTAACGGAAGAGGGTCCCTGGAGTATGGGCACCCCGGGATCTGGGAGATGCGTCTCTGAGACCCGGCGATCGGCTCCCCTCCATCGGGGGAGGAGGCGAGCCGGGGCCCCCAGGCCGGGGGTCCGGACCCCACCCCTCTCCCCCGGTCAGATGGGTGGGGCGCTGGCTCCGGGGCCGCTGCGTCCTCACCTCGGTGGGCGCGATCCCGAAGGCCTCGGCGATCTTGGCGTAGAGCTCGCGGACGTTGGTGAAGCCCTCGATCCTGCCCGTGGGGCTGCCGTGCGCCAGCTGCGTGCGGAAAACCAGTCGCGGGCGGGCGCGGGGCGCGGCTGGGG